AACTCGTGCTTGGAAAAATATTAATCAAATTTGTCACTTGACTAATGTCTTCAAGATTTTCTCTCGAACTGATCAGTTATTTAATAGTGTGATACGAACGCGTTCATAGAACAAGCTGCTGCTTCAGCTTCGTTCCCGTTGTAGGGGACAGGAAGCCTGCACTTCAGCTTATCGAGGTCCACCCCCCTCCCCATCCACCCCGCCCTTAAGACAACTTATAACTTTTCCTTGGATGCAACCCACAACAACTCCCTAGCTCACGGGGGCTTATTTTACTGTTAGATGAACAAAGGCATCAGGGGAAAGTAAGTGTGCCCACGATTTGATTGTTCGGCGGCTAGTTTATTGTGCACCCCATACTCGTCCTGTGAGTGGTAGCGCAAAAGCATTACAGAGGGCACAAAAGGTCTTTATCAGACCTCATCTTAGATTATTACATAAACAATTTCATCTATCCTTCACACCTTCTAGTTACAATGTCAGCTAGTTACCCACGCGTTTCTGCCCTTCCTGGGGATTGAACCCGGGTCTCTCTGTTATGAGCCGAGGACGTAGACCACTGAACAGTTGAGTGAACACTGCTCGGGATTCGCAATCCTAAAGTCCGGGCATCGATCTCCGGCGGAAACAAATGGGCAGAGTTTCTTTCACCCTGATGCACCTGTTCACTTAGCAGTAAATAGGTATCTGGGAGTTTACAGCTGCTACGGGCTGCTTCCTGTGGGTGTATGTGAAATACATATAAATATAAAACTATTGACAGTTGAGAGGAGGGCTCAAAGAGCCAGAGCTCAACCCCCCGGAAACACAACTAGGCGAGTACTGTGATTTGGGAACGTTATCAATTTTGCGGGCACTTTGTGATGGTTCAAAGGACCAACGTTCCCTCGGCCAGGTTGGTGCTCTGGTCAACCAGGCTGTTAGACGTCGCTGCTCGCATCCTGACGTGTGAATCACAACCCTGCTTGATCAGGAATCAACTGGAGTTGGTTTTTATCAACTTTTCTTTTGAACTCCACGAGAGGTCGGCAGGCAATGCTCCTTGTGTCTGTAAAGCGTGTTGAAAAGTCCTGGGCCCTTATGTTGATCGAATTATCTCGTAGCGTACCTATTGCACCTTTTCTTTCCAACGGGTTATTTTGCATGTTTTCCTGAGCCTCCGGGTCTATATAGTGGTAATGGCTTGGCGCTTTCCTTTGATAATTGCCTTTCCATACCTCCTGGTCTCGAATGGTGTATTTTGTTGTTAAAGATTCCTGGTTGATACCTGGTTGATGGGGTTCTGGGAGTTCTTCTACTCCCCAAGCCCGGCCCGAGGCCAGGCTTGACTTGTGAGAGTTTGGTCCACCAGGCTGTTGCTTGGAGCGGCCCGCAGGCCCACATACCCACCACAGCCCGGTTGGTTCGCTACCTGAAACAAAAAGTTCCAGGTAATACGGGCTATGGTGAGCCCGTAGTGCCTTAATTTATGTGTACAGATTTGGAACCAGTATCTCTAATATTTTCTAAGCTTAAATTATTGTCCCCGCGTGCGTTCTACAGAATAAAGATTTACAATTTTAAAGGCATCCTGTATGGGCGTGACAGCCGAGTGGACAGCGCTTCGGATTCGTAGTCCTAAGGTTCCGGGTTCTATCAACGGTGGAGCGGAAACAAATGGGCAGAGGTTTTTTTTCCACCCTGATGCCTCTGTTACCTAGCAGTAAATAGGTATCTGGGAGTTAGACAGCTGCTTCCTGGGGATGTGTAACAAAAAGGAGGCCTGGTCGAGGACTGGGCCGCAGGGACGCTAAGTCCCGAAATCATCTTAAGATAACCTCAAGATAGATCCCAATAATTTACATATTTTATGGAGTGAATCTAGCAGTAAAATATCATTGCACATCCTCCATCCTGGTGACCTCCAGGTCATCAGGATGACCTCCAGGCCACCAGGATGACCTCCAGGTCACCAATTTCTCCAGCTTTGAATGGAGCTGTTATTGTGCAACAATATTCTCCTTACAGAAAGCACAGTTAGTGTCTTAAAAATTATCATCGGCCTCGCATATCTTATTTGAAAAGTTCTTGTTATCCAACCTGTAATGTTTCTTCCTGTTGTGACATTCTTTAGTATGTTCTGTAAAGGTAAGGGCTTTGAATATAATTCTTATATATAATTATATAATTTGAATAATTTGAAAAAATAATTATAATTAATATAATTATAATTTGAATATATAATTCTGCCCGAAACGCTTTGCGTAATAGTGGCTTTAGGCATTGTATGTACTAGCTCTATCTATAAAGCCAACAAACATTGTAAAATCTCTTTATGTATGTACCTTTTCCTAAATAAAAATTATTATTATTATTATTATAATTACCTGCAAATTTTTTATATTGGGTTTTCGTTCTATAATGGTGGTTTGCCTGTGTTTTATAAGTGGTTTGTTTTGATATTTTCGTGTTTTTTTCATAATTCAGAAGCTGGAACTTCATTACTTATTTCTGTGGCCTGATTTGCATAACTTTGGAGGTTTGTTGCATCCACTATATGTATACATATATTGTCTACTTTCATAAAAACCCAAGTGTCGTCTGATGATACGGTACTATACTTTTTATTTGATATGAGGATAAGAGTACGGGAACAGTACTATCTTTAGGTTATCATGAGGTGATTTCGGGGCTTTGCGTCCTCGCGGCCCGGTCCTCGACCAGGCCTCCTTTTTGCTACACCAACCCCAGGAAGCAGCCCGTAGCAGGTGTCTAAATTCCAGGTACCTATTTACTGCTAGGTGAACAAAACTAGGGTGAAAGAAACTCTACCCATTTGTTTCCGCCTCCACCGGAGATCGAACCCGGAATCTCTGGACTACGAATCCCAAGCGCTGTCCACTCAGCTGTCAGGCCCGACTAGGGAACTGATGGGGATTTTACATTGTTGACTATTACGCACTGGGTTCTGTTCATTAGGAAATTAAAGGTCAATCTTGCATTTTGTTTGCAATAACAGCATGGTCACACGTCGAAATGGAAGGGAACTATCAGGAGAAAGAGCCAAGCCATTACGACTATATAGCACTTGGAAGGAATAAGAATCTGGGATGGGACGGGGGGGAAGGAATGGTCCCCCCAACAACTTGGACGGTCGGGGATTGAACGTCGACCTTCATGAAGTAAGCCCGTCGCTCTACCGTACACCCCAAGTGGTTGCAAACAAACTGCGCACGAAAACGTCGGAAGCGTTCACGAAATATCACTACATCAACGATTTGCTTTTTTCTCCATGGCAGCCAAGGCCACGTCCTTGTGATCTAGCAGTTGTGAGAGGAAGGAGAGTTCTGTTCTGAACCCGTGTTATCCAGAGTTGTGTAGACGTGACCAGGTGGATTACTTGGCTTTGTGTGTTACTAGTTTGGGTAAAAGTTTGGATTCTTTATAGAGAAGCAAAACATGAGAATGTTCTGACCAGACATGTCTATTGTCCTGGCAGGTCGTTTCTCTTGTACGGGGATAGGCTGGCTAAGCAGCCCGTTCTTTCCATTTTACAAGCATCAAATTTAAAATGGTTTTGTCTAGCAAAAAGCATACAAAGCTAGAGAGATTAGTCCTATAATGCGTCAATATTTCGGGGCTTTTAATTTCAGTAAAATAGTTATCAAGAGAATTACAAATCCAAAATTTTGACGTCGGTAGATAGCCTTATGCCAGTGTGATTTTATGACACTTTGAAGGAATATGAGGAAAAGGAACTGGGGGCATGAAGACGAAGTGGAAAACTGGGTCTGATCACTTTCGGGGGGTGGGCGTGGGGTAACGGGAATCGAACACAGACGCTGCTGTAACACACACAGTAGTGCGTGTTACAGCAGAATGCAATCTGGTTGACGTCCGACTCGTCATCACACCACACTCATCACCTGAAAGCGTAAACCCAAATTACCTGTCTACATACCTAGGATCGCTTTGGTAATACATACCATTATTGGACATGTACGATTTAGGGGCTCCGCAATGTTCGTTATACAGTCTTTCATTAGCTTTGTTGACTTCCCCATCACACTCCCCACCTCATATACAGCCAAATCATCAATAAATCATCGCAATATTTCACTTCAAGTAAATACTCCTATCGACAATCGACTTGAGAATGGTCCAGGACGGACCGAAACGTCGTCGTCCCTTCAATTTCTAGTGTGTGGTCTGGTCAAAATACTCCTATTCGAACACATAAGAGAATGGATATCCTAAACGAAATGGCGGAGAGGGTGAATGCCGATTAGAAATTAGGGTGAATGACGATTAGAAATTAGGGTGAATGACGATTAATAATTAGGGTGAATGACGATTATTAACTAAATATCATCAGCTAGGTGTTGGTGTTTTATGCTCCCCTTTGATCTTGGCTAGAACTTTTGCCCTCTGGTTAGTATCAGCTAGGTGTGCTCCTAGGAGTTTATTTGTAATAGTCTAGTGTTAAGTGGCTAGGTGAATCTAGACTTGAATGTGTATATAAAAAATATATAACAAAAGAAACGTATATAGGCAACATAGACCATTTTTATAGGTGAACTGCCACGCACAGCTTTGACCTTTTGCTGAAGTGCACCCACTTTGAAACGGTTAACATATGGATATAAATCCCCCATTGAAATGGTTAACATATGGATATAAATCCCCCATTGAAATGGTTAACATATGGATATAAATCCCCCATTGAAATGGTTAACATATGGATATAAATCCCCCATTGAAATGGTTAACATATGGATATAAATCCCCCATCACACTCCCCACGTGAAATACAACCACAATCATTAAATCATAGCAATATTTCACTTCAAGTAAATACTCCTATTCGAACACTTAAGAGAATGGATATCTTAAATGATTTCAATTAGCACACGCATAGTGTTCGAAATCTGAACTCTCAATATTTAGGATTTAATACTGTATTACTCAAAATGACACTACTTAATCCTGCATACAAAAGAAAATACAATTAGTGGCTTAACTGAATCTCTTGACGGTGTAAAACCCCTTAATCGCAAGACTTTTTACAACTCCACCTTCTCGTTGTGCATCTCAGTCTAGTCCAGTGCTCACCAAACCTGGAAAAATTACACAAAATTAGATACTTATTTTTCCTTAAGGTAACGACACACCTCGCAATACACCTTAGAATTTAATTGTAATGTGATTTCAAGAAGACCAATTTGGCGTGTTTCTGGTTAACAAATCACGAGGACTATTTTGTGGTAGGTAGTGAGGCCGTGATGTAATTATTATTGTCTTTTCCAAGCACCTTCAGGTGTGAAGTAGGAGTTCCCACTCTTGTCTTCGTGAAGACGAGAGTGGTGAAGCCTGAACACGGTGTTTGGTGTGGCAAGTCTCCGGTTGCTCCCAGTTTTGTGGCACTAGTGAACAATATAGATCAGTGGTAGTTTTCTCATTAGCTGGGACCTATTGCCGGAATAACCGTGGACATCTTCAAGAGAAAACTGGACTGTTTTCTAAGAGAAGTTCCGGATCAGTCGGGCTGTGGTGGGTATGTGGGCCTGCGGGCGGCTCCAAGCAACAGACTGGTGGACCAAACTCTAACAAGTCGAGCCTGGCCTCGGGCCGGGCTTGGGGATTTAGAAGAACTCCCAGAACCCCATCAAGCAGGTAAACCCCATCAAGCAGGTAAACCCCATCAAGCAGGTAAACCCCATCAAGCAGGTAAACCCCACCAAGCAGGACCTGGGTGATGAAATATTCACGGTGAATAAGTGTCAGATTTGCTGTGGCTGCTAAGAATGACTAAAACAGACATTGCATCAAGCATATTTTTGCTTCCTATTTGCCAGCGTTGTGTAAAGAAAGGACTTAAAGAAAAAAGTAATAAAAAAGTTAAGTAAAGAAAGATATTAACTTGTTAAAATTAAAAAATTTACTTGTTAAATTAAAAAAAAAGTTAAGTAAAGAAAGAAATAAACTGTTTGTGTAATGAAAGAAGTTTGGGAGGAATTAGCTCTGGTCTTTCATAGTGCCCTACCGGTCATGTTAGTTGTAATGGCTTGCCGCTTTCTTTACCTTTTTTCACTATCTTCCTCCTTGGAAAGATATGCCGGTCTCCATACATTATACACCCATTAGATTACAGCAAATCTATAACTCTGAAACTATGAGATGATTAAGACTTGAAGCTATTGACAGTCGTCTTTAAAATCTCAAATTAACTGAATTCTATGCCTTTACTGATGGTTCTGTGCAATTGAGCACTGGTAAAGCAGGCTGTGCATGTGCAGTATATACAACGAATGAAGCTATCGTGTCTAGTATGCAGAGATTAAAGGATTGGGCAAGCACGACACAAACTGAGCTATTGCGTATTTATCTAGCCAATGATACTAACTATCGTATAGAATTTGTCTGGATCACATCCCATGTTGGAGTTGGAAAGCATGACTTTGTAGATCGATTGGTTTGCAGGAAAGAAATCACTGATTATGACTTTGGACCATATAATGGAATTATTAGAAACATTAAAATTAAAGAGATTAAGATTTAATAGAACTAACAAATTCCATAGATCTGAAAGCTGCAATATTAAAAGCTATGGTAACTTTTGTAAGCATATATATTTGTATGGTCAGCACAGTAACTGAACCAGACAATGATGTAGTCATTGCGGGAATTCGCCTTAGCTATAGGCACATCTAGCATGTTAGTGAGGCTGAGCCACTACCAGAATATTCGGATTGTAAACTCTGTGACAAACCATTAACTCGTTCACTTGAACATTATTGAATATGTAACTTTAAAGATTTTAGACCTCCTGGCCTATTGTATAATCAACTGTGTAACCATTTCATTAAATCTGGTGCATTAAGTCATCCTCACAATTTATTTTGAATTTGCTTATCCAGTTTAAAGAATGAACAAAGATTTTATTTATTTTTAAGCTGTATCTCTTATGAATTCATCCCTGCCCTTGTGTGACAGTACACGATAGGGAGATTGAAACACGTATACTGTCTTATGTACATAATTGTAACCAGGATATGTATATGTGCTTCAGCCTACATTTAGACCTATTGTCTTGTGTATAATTCTCAGTCGTGTGTAACAGTGAATACCAGTATTATCCTCTCTAATATCTAATTGAATTACTCAGATTAGGCAAAACTTTAATTAATTTTGTCAATAAAGTTGTTAATAATAAGGGAAGCCCTACTTGGCTCGTTAGAGGGTTCTTGCCCCCTGCTGTGTGCCAGGGCCAGCTCCTCATCTCTGGCTCCTCTCAACATACATGAAATAAAATAAATTTAATTTTTTTATTTCATATTTATTATTTAAACTTGGGACATCATATTGGATAATGTTCAGTCACTCAATTAAGGATTTGTTCATGATTGTCCTCACAATTATTCTAGAATTCAGAAAATCGTGTAATTAAAGTGCTGGGCTGATTTCCAACACAAAGCGAGGTGCAACAGAGACGGTTGCATTGCTCTTGACTAGTCCAATTGTATGGACGGTTATCTTGAGATAACCTATCGGTTATCAACCAATCGGTTATCTTGAGATAACGGTGTATAAAGTGTGAGGACAAGTTGCAGTAGCAGCCCTCGTGGGTACGGGGCTCCGCTGCCCTGGGGCATAAATTGTTCCTTCCTTGTGTAGTGAGTGAATCTGAGTGTCCGTTTGTCTCGTGATACTTTTCGTTGGATATTGTATAGTAGTACTGGCTTGGGGCGTTTTCCTGGTAAGTACTTTGCCTCCCTTTTTCCTTAACTGTTGGCTCATCAGTCGTGTAGCTTGGGGATATATTCAATATCTGGGACCCGAGCCCCAGGTATTCGGGCTCGGGGGTTCGTTATATGCCACTGTAATCTAAATTTTACCTTAGTCATTGTTAGATAAGTACCGTTCAGTAAGTACCCCCATCACCAATACCCCCTCTCACCCCCCCCCCATCCCCAATATCCCCCCCCCCCACACAACCAACCTAACCCCCCTGCTCCCCTGCCTCTTAGAACCCTCTCCCCTCCTCTCACCACTAACACCACCCTTCTCCCCACGACCACCTCTCAACCCCTTCCCCCCAGCTACTAACACCCCTCCCCCACATCTACTACCTTACCCCTACCACTAAGTTTAAATAAAGTATGAGAAGACGACTTGGCTAGCTTACGGGCTCACTATAGCCCGTGCTACTTAGACATCTTTTTCTGAGTAGCTGAATGTGAAACAACAACAACTTGGATGACAACTGAAAACGCAAATGTTGAAGAAATGTAGAGTTACCGGTACTCAGTACAGAACGGTCACTGATCAACAGGTGGAATACGCTGAAAGACGTTGTAGAAGCCACCTATTTATTTATTTATTTATATATATACAAGAAGGTACATTGGGATTGTGAGGATACATAGCATAGTAATTTGCAGTCTCCGTGGTGTAGTGGTAAGACACTCGCCTGGCGTTCCGCGAGCGCTATGTCATGGGTTCGTATCCTGGCCGGGGAGGATTTACTGGGCGCAATTCCTTAACTGTAGCCTCTGTTTAACGCAACAGTAAAATGTGTACTTGGATGAAAAAACGATTCTTCGCGGCAGGGGATCGTATTCCAGGGACCATAGGATTAAGGACTTGCCCGAAACGCTACGCGTACTAGTGGCTGTACAAGAATGTAATAACTCTTTTATATATCAAAAAAAAAAAAAAAAAAAAAAAAAAAATAATAATTACATTCTTGTAAAGCCACTAGTACGCTCAGCGTTTCGGCCATCTCTATCCACGAAACTTCAAGGTCAAATTTGACAAAGATTTTGAGCGTCTGAACAGTTCCCTGGCATAATGGTAGGGTGAAAACATGCCGTGAAAGATTTAATTCTAATGTGCAACACAACAGGTGCAAGCCAAGCCAGCAGCCACAATGGTGTGTAGACCTCGCCTCCTCCCCATCTTAACAATCCTCCCCCCTACCCCCTCATCCTCACCCCCCCCTACACCCGGAAATCTACAAAATACCACCCCCCCCCCTCCCCCTCTCTACCCCGCAACATACCTGCTGGGCTTCCCACCCATCATTGTCCTCCAACCCCCTGATACACATCCAGTATACACCAGTCCCCGGACACAAGTATATTTTCTTAATGAATATTTATGTGTAAGATGCAGGTTATTTAACTTTTTTTTCGGGGGATGAGGAGGAGGAGGAGGAGGAGGACTGCCGTCTCACGCTACCCCCTCTCTCTCGTTACTTTCCACTGGCCATCATTAGTATTTCTTGTCCACACCTTTCACTTCTAGCTTATGTATGCATGCATGTATCTATGAATGTATGTTAGATTAGCATTTTATAAGCCCTGCAATCACCTTCTGTGGTTGATAAATAAATCACTGAACTATATGTTTAACAGATCTCTAACCCTGTCCATGGAGGACAGAAGAAAAATGTGGTTAGTATATGCTGCTTAGCGTTGTAAATGTATGGCCACGTCTGTGGTAGAAAATTAAAATTAAAGAAAATCTAGTTTTCCTTTACCCACTCGGTCACTGGCCTTCTCCCTCGCCTCACTGGTGGGGCAACCCGCCTGTGGAACAGGTGGCTGAGCGGACAGCACGCTGGACGCGTGATCCTGTGGTCCCGGGTTCGATTCCGGGCGCCGGCGAGAAACAATGGGTAGAGTTTGTCACCCTGATTCGCCTGTTACCTAGCAGTAAATAGGTACCTGGGAGTTAGATGCTATGGGCTGTATCCTGGGGTGTGTGTAACAAAAAAAATAGGCCTGGTCGAGGACCGGGCCGCGGGGACGCTAAGCCCCGAAATCGTCTCAAGATAACCCTGGTTGCCAGTCCGGCCACGCCACTTACGTGATCGTATTCCTTCTTTAATGAGTCAAAGGAGCGAGAGATGAGGGAAGTATTGTTAGCAAGTCGTCTACTCCACTCCATTTTATGTCATGCTCCCCTACGGACAAATTACTATGATGCAGGCGACGAGTCACATTAACGTGGCTGAAGTATATTGACCAAACTACACACTAGAAAATGAAGTCACGACGACGTTTCGGTCCGTCCTGGACCATTCTCAAGTCGATGGAGAATGGTCCAGGTCGGACCGAAACGTCGTCGTCGTCCCTTCATTTTCTAGTGTGTGGATTGGTCAACAAGTACTATGATATAGTATCGGTTTACATATATTCACGCTTGCCCATGTATCGATTAGGTTAGGTGGGTTGTTTGGGTTTCGCAAGTTTCTGGTTAGGTTAGAAGGTTGGATTTTGTACGTTGTGGCAACTCTAGAGAATGGGCTGTGCTGTTTATGGCCAAGTGGGCCGTCAGATGTTAATGAATACAAGTGTTAAGTAGTACAAGTGTTAAGTAGTACAGGTGGGAATTTGGTCACGTCATGAGACAGGTGAGGCGTCATGATGACGTCATGAGAGGCAGGCGAGGCGCCATGATGGAGATGATAATGACGGGCTCTCGGGCGCGCGCTCGCACGCTGACACGAGGGAGGTGGGGGGTGGGGTGGGGGGGAATAGAGCAAACCTGGAACCCTCAGGACTTCCGTGTAATTCATCTATCGAGTCAGGGGTGTGGCGTTCGATTCCCAGTGGTCTAGGTGATTGGGCGCCTTTACCCCAGCTCCGTCCTCCTAACTCCCTCCCCGCAACCCGTTCTCGCACTTGCTTATAGTCAATATCTTGCTTATAAATAAGTGCATATGTGACATACTAATTTATTGTAAGTAACATTATTTTCTGGTGTAAATTAATTTTATAGCATTTTGTAGTCATTGTCAAATCAATAAAATTGAAAACTTAATAAAATATTGTACAATCATAACTGATTGTATACGAAACGATAGCAAGTATTCTTTATTAATTTCCATAAGACGTTATAATAGCAGAATACAACCATTGTTAAATACTGTTCAATATTTTACTAGAAAAATTTTACTAGTATTTTGACTTTGTGGATAAAACTTGTGCAGCTATAGTAAAAGCAACTATAACACATTCACTATTGCTATTATTATCTACGTAGTATCTTTGGTTAATTTTAATGAAAGTAGATAAACTGAATAAACAAAAAAAAAAATGCCTTAGTACTGCTTGCATGACAGCCAGCTGTCTCAATTATCTCATTATATCAAGATAGCAAATAATAGCAGTTTAAACACGGCTTATTTGATACTATTATTTAGTGGAGAAAAACAAAATCAAACATTACTTCATTTAACAGCTAGTTCTAATAACTGGTAATATATTTATTTATTTATTTATTTATTTATGCATATACAAGAATGTACATAAGGAATGTGAGGATACAAATATGGTAATTACAGTCTTGTAAAGCCACTAGCACGCGCAGCGTTTCGGGCAGATAGATGCCCGAATGATAGATGATAGGCAGATGTATAGAATACATAGATATCTAGCGATTGCAAAACTATCTTTTCTGGTTAGCAATTGTCTTAAAAAGCCTGGGGGCGTTTTAAATTGTCAAATGTACACAAAATAATACTTTTTGCGGCATCGTAAGACTGAGAGAAGAGAGGATCCCTGTGGCGTCTCTCCCCACTGTATAGTTGTTAAATAACCCGTTTTCTATGCAAATTGAAAGAAGCGTAAAGTTCATTAAGTAAAAAGTTAATATAAAATCAAATCCTCGTTTAATAGTATGTTTAAGGGAATGGTTTATGGTTATCAGAGGAGGACAGAGGCTCTACAGTTCTTTGCAATGGGAACAAGTCTAGGTGTTTAATAGAGAGCGAAGTACCATGGAAAAGAGCCTGTATGGCACATACACACACAGTTTTGCTATGTTTATATTTAGGCCTAGGACCCTGGTAGACCCTAGTTAAGGTACCTGGTAGATCCTGGGTTAGACATTAGACCCTGGCCTTTGGTCGACGGTCCAAACCGTTGACCTGGTTTGGTCAACGAGGAGGCCTGGTCGACGACCGGGCTGCGGGGACGCTAAGCCCCGGAAAAACTCCAAAGGTAAGTTAAAGTAGGATAAGCGAGGCGTTTTATTCTGTTGGCAATTGGCAATATTTGTAGAACGTGGGAGAAGCATTTGCAGAGTTGCGGTTCGAACAGAGGTCATCAGCAAAGCACTATACCATCAATTTTCGAGCGTCATCAGTCGAGTTTATATGCAAAGTGTTTTTCATACGTAAATAGGGACGTTTGGCGGCTGCATGGAACGAACAGTTGGCTTTGCTGATGAGTACAAGTTGAAGGACGGGCTCAGTTACTGTCTCAACTTTCCCGTCTACACTGCTTCACTCACTCCCCGCGTTAGTCACACCTTCCTACATGCCTTGGATTATTTACACGAATCCATGTAAATAAATAATTGCCAACAGAACCAAAACACTTTATGTAACTTTCCCAAGGCTTTATTATACACAAAACTGTATTATGCACTATAACCATATTAAGTCCTTAAGTTGTATTAGAGACGATTTATAGTTTACACAATACGTTAAAATTGATGACTGCATCTTGGGAATGGTTGCAGCTTGGATGAGCAAAGCCTGGTAATGGCCTGCTTGAATCTGGAGAGTTTGGAGTGAGATCTTTTGCAGGGTTTTCAGCCTAACTCATCGTAGAGTTTGTCTAGACGTGAGTGTTTGGAAATGTTCTAATTCGCCAAATGTATCAAACCACCTGTCCAGGTTATGAGTTACACTATAATGAGTCTTGGGGGAAGGTAGTATGGCAGGGGCCTGCTTTGGCCTAGCAGGTGCCATCTATAACAAAGGAAATGCCTATTTAATTACGACTTATTGAGCTTAGCGTCACGGAATGTCTTCCGTTTCTTAATTATGACTTGGCGTCTATCGCTGGATTCCCTCACTTTGTTTGACTTATCAAGTACCCTTGTTTACGTAGTGTGTGTGCGCGCGCGCTTACTATTTGTGCCTGCAAGATCGAGCTGTTAGCTCTTGGGTCCCATGCCATTATAACCGTTGGTTGTCTAATGTACCGACTCCCGATCTATTTTTCTGTATGTGTGTTTACATGTATTTTTCTTTCCCTCTCGCTGACATATTGCCAGGAATGCAGCACCTAACTGTCACGTAGGTTTATCATTTACTGCTAGATGAACAGACGCATCAGGTGAAAAGCTCTGCCCACTTATTTCTGCCTCGGGCAGGAATTGAACAGAGGCCCGGTTAAGACTACAATCCCAGAAGGCTGTCCATTCGGCCGAGTGAGTTGAGTGTGCGCGCGCGTGCACTCGCCTATTTGTTTTCAGTCATGCTTTTATCTAATAGAATTACTCCCAAACCATTTTTTTTCAACAAAGTATTTACGTCTGAAATTATGAAAGGAGTTCGCTTCTACAATTTGCTCATTTAGTTCATTCAGTCTCCCTTCTCTTCCCAGACAGCCCCGCTCCTGTGCCAGGTAAGTCCACAACGGGCTCACCATAGCCCGTGCTACTTGGAACTTATTGTTCCAAGTAGCGAATCTTAAACAACAACAACATCATCCCTTCTCTTGCGCCCAAGTGTTGTCCAAGAAGCAGCAATATTGACCTTTGAGCTACATCGTTTAACCTATTGATAAACAATGGTTCATAATCGGCTGTCGTAATATATGACATGACTTTACTTCTGATATGTGAATTTTAACGCGTTTCTCTATATTTCGTTAGCATTATAATCATTAATTATCTTTGTTTATATTGTAATTTTCATTTATTTAATATACCTGGAATGGGTTATGCAACCCGTCCTCAGACCAAGTCTATTCTATCCAGCGGTCGATCCCAAAGCATACCTAACACGATAAAACTTCTAAATTATTGGGATCGTCTCAAAGCTCTCTAAATGTATTCGTTGGAAAGGATACGAGAGAGGTATCAAATACACATGGAAAATACTGGAGGGCAAGGTCCCAAATCTACAACGTAAAATAACTTACTGGAGTGAACGATATGGAAGGAACTGCAGAATAGAACCAGTGAAGAGCAGAGGTGCCATATTCACAATCGGAGAACACTGTATAAACATCAGCGGTCCGCGGTTGTTAAACGATACTCCAAGCGAGCACAAAAAATATTGCTGGAACAAACGTGAACATTTTCAAGAGAAAACTGGATAGTTTTTTTTCAAGAAGTGCCGGACCAACCGGGCTGTGGTGGTCGGGGCGGGCTTGGGGAGAAGACAGCCCGTCCTCACACTAGACTGTTTAAAGCAGCGGCCGTCCTCCCCAGACGCATTCATCAATTTTAACATACTGTGTATTAAAAATTGGTTTGTTCTCATATATAAATTATTTACATTATTATACATGTAAATAGTTTGGCGTAGGTTAGGTTAAGTTTGGTGTTTAGGTTCTGTTAACGATTATTTGCCAACTTGTCCTCGATTCAAGTCCATTACATCCAGCGGTCGACCCCACAGACGCATTCATAAATTTTAATATGCATTCCATTCAAAACAGGAATTTTCTTAAATATAAATTAACATTATAATATATTAGCATATTGTGTATATATAGGCATAGGAGGTTAGGTTAGGTTAGGTGTTTAGGTTCTGTTGGCGATTATTTGTATTTGTAGTACGTGGGTGAAGCATTTATAGCGTTGTGGTTCGAACAAAATTCGTCAGCGAAGCACTTGTTCCGGAAGTGTTCGAACGTCATCAGTTGTGAACTTGTCTAAATGTTTCTTGAACACGTCCGCTTTTGTGCCATAATGTCTAGAAATGTTTACACTGATGTGTTTACACAGTGGACTTACACTGAGTCCTGTGTAGCCAGAGTGGTAACGCTCTGTACAACTTGTTACGAATGAAGCTTTACATTAGGATTGGAGTTTTGTGATATATAATGAATAATTATAAAGATTAGTATTTTATTATATAAATTAATAATAAACGTTGGTGTTGTAGGCAAAAGCAATTTTAAATACTATCATTAAGTTATGTAATTGATCCGAATTGAGGTTTTCTCAAAGGGCTTTAATGCTTTCATTTCTGGTGTGAGCTTGTGAGTGGGGGCTCAGCGGTGGCGTCCATCATGGGGTTACAACGACTATGTATGACGGACGAATTTGTGGTGGATCCGCGTGTCTTGTTCCCGTGGTTTGAAAGTTGTTCATTGGACGTTCTTGACGAGAACTCTTCAAATAGTTGTCGTTATATTTGGATTCATGGGCTAGTTTCTCATATCTATTGTTGTATGCCCTTGTACACAAGTTTACACCCCTAGTATGTTTCTTAAAGGGTTTGCACCATTCTAATTGTTACTGTTAATTTAGTTTTTAACTTCATGCTTTGACATGAACACTGTCACTCCTATTTTGTGTTCGTGTTGAATCGTCCATAATTCTAACTAAACTTACAAGAAGCTATCACGACTTCGGATGACAATTACAAGCGTTGAACAAAACAAGAACGTCGTCGTTTAAGATAAAATTAGGCGCGTTTCTGCAAGAAGTGCTGGATCAATCGGGTTGTACTGGGTATGTGGGCCCGCGGGACGCACCAAAACAACAGTCTGTTGGAACAAGTTATCACAAGTCAAGCCTGGCCCCAGAGGTCAAGCTTGGGGGAAATAGAACTCGAAGAATCCAATCCAGGCATATATGACCAGTACTTAGCCAGGGTTCTATGAAAAATTATTTCTATGTAGGCCAGTTTCATGTCTCGCATATTTTAACATAACGTCAATTGGTAGCTCTTAATATTATTTTTTTAAGCTAGGTGTCTTAAGGAGGTTAATCCTCAGTGGAGGCGATTATATGATTTGCAAGAGCTTGCATGCTTTCCTGGCAAGATGGTCAAATCTTGATTCTTGAGGTTATCTTGAGATGATTTCGGGGCTTTTAGTGTCCCCGCGGCCCGGTCCTCGACCTGGCCTCCACCCCCAGGAAGCAGCCCGTGACAGCTGACTAACTCCCAGGTACCTATTTACTGCTAGGTAACAGGGGCATTCAGGGTGAAAGAAACTTTGCCCGTTTGTTTCTGCCTCGTGCGGGAATCGAACCCGCGCCACAGAATTACGAGATCACAGAATTATAAATCACACTCTCATAAGTATGCTAAACTGTGCATTATCATGCTTCCTGGTCTGTTTGGATTTTTGTGCCCGTTTGAACCTTACTATTTTGTTGTATATATTCTACACGGTTACAATGTCTTTACCGTAGATGTGTCTATAACAACTGTTTAAGATGTCCTGTGGCGAGCATGTCTCTCTCACTGTCGTATCTTGTGCCGCTTCCTGCTGCTGCTGCTGCTGCTGTTATTGATGCTACTGATGTTGATGCTGTTGTTGCTGCTGAGGCGTTATGCTGAACCTAGGGTAGCTAGGTCCCCCCCCTCCCCCCCCTGCCCCCCCCCCCCCCCTGCCCCCCCCCCCCCCCCCCGAAGGTTGAACTGCTGACCCTGCCCAGGATACAAATCGACTAAACACCAGGATACCTATTTACTGCTAGCTGAGCAGAAACATTAGGTGATTGCAAACGTACCCATCCCTTTCCGTCCGGGCAGGGATTCGAACCTGGAATTCCTGACTGTTAGTCTAAAACGAACTCAACTGTAGGACCGAGACTGTTCGTGATCAAGTGTGTGTGCGCGCGCACGCCCTTGTGTATTCCCTGTGGTTGAGTGTGTGCGTGTGTATTCCCTGTGGGCACGTGTGGTTGTGTGTGTGCGTGTGTATTCCCTGTGGGCACGTGTGGTTGTGTGGGGGTACTGTTGTTGTAGCCTGTGCTCAAGGTTCACTGGTATGTATCGGTGCTGTTTCACTACCTTATTTTTAGTAGAACAAGACGTGTTCCGTGTATGGTGGTCAAGGACGCAGCTAGAGCATGGCACACAGATTTGTTTTCTGTGTTACGTGTGTTCTGGTGACACAGTGGGGCTGCACACCACAGTTGAGAACGCTGTTCAGTGCTGCGGGGGATGTGGCCTGGTTTATTTGGTAAGGAGCTGAGCATAGCACGTAATGCTATAGCTTAGATTTATTAAACACGTACAGATTCCAGCAGTAGGCTGTGAGGTAGAGGGGAAATTTAAAAATGGAGCTGGGATTTAGAGGGGTAGGGGTTTTCGCGTGTACACAGACACAGACATAGACACAGACAGCTGGGGGTCTGGTAGCTGAGGGGACAACGCGCAGGATTCGTAATTCCGTGGCCTGGGTTCGATTCCCGGACCAGGCAGAAACAAATGGGAAAACGTTTTTCATCTTGAATGGCCTTGTTACATAGCAGTAAATAGGTACCTGGGAGTTAGACGGCTGTTACGGAGCTGTTTCGTGTGTGTGTGTGTGTGTGTGTGTGTGTGTGTGTGTGTGTGTGTGTGTGTGTGTGTGTGTGTGTGTGTGTGTGTGTGTGTGTGTGTGTGTGTGCGTGCGCGTGTGTATGTGTGTGTAAAAAATTGATTGAGAGTTGAGAGGCGGGCCCAAAAAGCCAGAGCTCAACCCCGCGAGCACAACTAGCTGAGTACACACACAGAGGAACACAGGAAGTGGCGCCGCCTGGGCTCCTCTTGAGGCTTCTCACTCTAAAGTTTGGTGTGTTGCCAACAGTGACCCGCCTGAGAGGTGCTCCCATGTCCTTACCATTTGTCTGTGTGTAGGGGAGTCGAGGTGGGTGATGACCTCTCCGTTAGTCTTCTAGTTATTGGCCCTCAACCTGATTACCTGCTTGAAGCATCGGATATTTGTTAATGGAAAAAGACGGTTTTACATATTGTGACAAATTATCAAACGTGGTTTAAAATATTGCAATATTTGTCTTGTGTTCTATGAGGTGAATAGTGACTAGTGCCTTCCTGTCTGTACATTGTGCTTCAGCAACAGAGTATTTCAGTGTCTTCAGTTGTTGTTGTTGTTGTTGTTTAAGATTCAGGTACTGGGAACAAAACGTTCCAAGTAGCACGGGCTATGGTGAGCCCGTAGTGGACTTACCTGGCACAGGAGCGGTGCTGTAACTTTGTGTCTTCAGTATTTTTGCATGTTTAATGGGGTGGTTAATTCTCACTGTTTTCCGGTATAGTTGCTAACTGTAGTCATTGCCATCATTAACGTTTATAGCCATCAACAAGGCAAATAACGAGTTGATTTCCGCTTTAGTAGGTGTGGCTCTCCCGGGCGTGATGCTGGTGTCTCCGGATTAATGACTGATGAAGATTAAGCCACGCATGAGCTGGCACGGACATGAATAGCCCGTAATAGCGTCTCCAGCCTTTGACGGCTGGTTATAGCAGGACTTTCACCTCAGTAGCTTAGTCAGCGATGAGAACCCTTGAAGTGACCGTGCATCCTACACGCTGCGCCTGACGTTAGCACAATGTCACATATTAACTAGTGTTTTGCATGCCTAGATATTTACAGAAAAACAGAGACATAACTCTCACTTGAGTAAAATGGTTGTCTTGGCGTGATTTCATAATAAATGGCTCTATCAAGCACGCCAAGGTCGCAGTCGTGTGTGGTTGTGGTTGTTCTGTAATGAGTCATGGTAGACGTCTCGTGGACAAAAGGATATTGTGGTTGACTTGCGGAAACCACATAGTCGTGGGATGCTTGGTGGGCTGGGCCTCGGGGGTGTGTGTCGAGGAGACGACGAGTCGTCCTGGCTTTACAAGCCAGGCAGGGGGGGGGAGGGGGAGGACTTGTGCCTGTGTGTGATGATATCCGTGTCAGCGGGGCCCGTAAGGAAGTGCCCAATAGCCAACCCATTACACGTCCGACCACTCAACCCTGCACCCACCTACCCAACCACCACCCCTACCACTTCGTCCGCCTTCCCAACTCATCCCGTACCTAACCAACCCACCAAACCCCTCGATTTCATCCGCGAAAAATGCCTCGTTTCCATCCCTGGAGGATTTGGGAAACGCTTTAATTTTTTTGGCGACAATTTCGAGGTGGAATTTGGTGGGTTAGAGGTCACCAGGAGCTGTCAGTGGGAGAGGTGACTGAACAATGCTATGAGGAGACCGCGCAGCCACGGGGGTAAAGTTTGGCGACGCCTGGAATCCTCACAATATGCGAGTCCTCTCTTTCTACTTCCGGGACCGTGGTCATGTCCCCCGCCTCCTCACAAGTCGCCAATGTCCTCATCCTCACCCCCCTCTCCTCGGGGTGTTCCTGAGCTGTTGCTGCGGCCTTCTTCGTTCCTTACTTCCTTACTCGTGGTTCTCTAGGCCCCTTACTCA